GACTAACTCCACCATTAGAAGGCCCCTCTGGTAGGGGCTTCTCAGAGAGCTGGAAACAGTTTCTCTGTATTTCCCCATGACTCCCACTTGGTCTCTATAGGCTGAGTGCACTCGGCAGAGAGTGAGGGAGGAACAATCGACAGTATCCAGATAGGAACACTCTAACTTCAGTCATCCTAAGAGTTGACACTCATATGCGTTTCACATTTAGCCATGGAGAAGCAGCATTAATTCACTGTGGTGATTGAGACTTCATACGCCCTAAAATGAAGAAATTCTAACTTGAGGTTCCCCCAGCAACTGTAGCTGGGCAACATAACCCCCAGGCATTGGCAGGAGGTCACAGCACTCAACAGCTCATTGGCAGGTGGGAGCACAGCCACCTTCACACACCTGGGCCCACAGGAACTGAGAGTGGGGTGCACTCAGAGATCAGGGAATGGGAGATGGTGCTGGAACCCCAGGAAGAGAATGCCTGCCACTCCAGTTTTTCAGAACATCTACATGCAGGTCTTTTACGCAAGAGATGACCCAGGTAAAGTGAATTGTGTGAAGACATACAGGCAGGAGATAGGAAGAGAAGAGCCAAAAGTGTGTTCTCTGCTTCCTTATTTAGAGCACTCCATCAGAGAAGTAGGCTGTCTCCCCACATCTCATTTTCTCTCTCTCTCTCTCTCTCTCTCTCTCTCTCTCTCTCTCTCTCGTATACACAGATGCACAGCTTAAAGTATGACTCATGTTCACAAGGGTAAGTTCCCTAGCAACCAATGACACATTTCCAAGGTGCTGCATGATTGGACACCTACAGTTGACACCTGGCTGAAACACAGAACAAACTTGTTATTGTATGACATATGAGATATATTTATTCTTTAAGCCAGTTTTTCAAGAGCCCCCCAACCTCCTTGCCAGACCCCTGTAACTTTGACTAACTTCCAGATTCTCTGTGAGACTCAGGCCCTGTCATGATAACACAGCTTGTTCTTATTATTCTGGGTAAGATGAAGGGGGGCCATAAAGCCAGGCCATGAGAACTAATCTCCCATTTTCTGTGTCAGAGTTTTTCAAAGGGCCCTCTTGTGTTGCTTCCAACAATAGCAGACTAGATAACCTGAAAGTTCTTTTCACTTAAAAACAATTAGCTTCTCCTAAAAGAAACTTAAGCACATTTCTGGGGCCAAACATAAGTAAGAGAAATATATAGTGGTCCCACCCATCTTCTAAAATTGACTGATATTAGGGTAAAGAGTAGGAAGCAACAAGCAACTTAGAATGCAGGTGGTGCTGGAGCAAGACATGGATACCGACTTTCCCCACTGCTATTTGACATTGTACTACTAGAACAGTTATACACAAAAAGTAAATAAAATGTATCCAAGTTGGGAAGCATAAAATAAAACTATTTTATTCATTGAAGGCATGATCCTATATATAGAAAATCCGAAAGAATCCAGAAGAAAACAACTAGAGCTAGTAAAAGAATTCATCAAAGCTACAGGGTACAGATTAATACACAATAATCAGCTGTGTTTCCGTATACCTGCAATAAAGACAGGGAAATAAAGAAAGCAATACCACTCAAAGTATTTAAAAGAATAAAATATCTAGGAATAAATTTAACCAAGAGGGTAAAAGACTTCTACACTGAAAACTGCAAAATATTGCTGAAAGATAGAAAGACACTATTGTCAAGTTGTCTGTACTACCCAGAGTGATCTATAGATTCAACACAATCCCTATCAAAACTCCAACAGCCTTTTCATGCAGAAATGGAAAACCAAACTGCAAATTCATAAGGAATTGCAAGGAGCCTTTAATAGCCAAAATGATTTTGATAAAGAGTGACAAAGTAGGAGGGCTCTCATTTCCCAATTTCAAAACTTACTGCAAAACTGTAGTAATCAAAAGAGTGTGTCACTGGTATGAGGATCACCATATAGACCAATGAAATAGAATTGAGAGTCCAGAAGTAAACTCATACATCTATGGCCAATTAATTTTTGAAAAGGATGCCAAGTCTTTTCAATGGGGAAGGAAGAACTCTTCAACAATTGCTGCTGGGACAACAGGATTTTCACATGCAAAAGAATGAAGTTGGGTTCCTATCTCATAGCAAATACAAAAGTAAACTCAAAAGTCAATGGGTCAATGACCTAAATATAAGAAATAAACATCTAAAACTCTTAGACAAAAACACAGGGGAAAGTCTTTATGACTTTGGACTTGGCAATGGATTCATAGATATGACACCAAAAGCATAAGTAACAAAAGAAATAGACCCAGTGGATTTTATAAAATTGAAAACATTTGTACATCAGAAGACATCAAGAAAGTAAAAAGACAACCTACAGAATGGAAGAAAATATTTGTAAATTCTTTAAAAAGGGCCTAACTTTCAGAATATATAAAAAATTTCTACACCCAACAACAAAAAGACAAGTGACCCAATTAAAAAATGGACAAAATACTTGAACAGACATTTCTCCAAAGAGCATATACAAATAACTAATAAGTATATGAAAAGATACTGAACATCATTAATCATTAGGAAAACGCAAATCAAAACCACAATGATATACCATTTCATACCTACCAAGATGGCAACAACAACAATAATAATAACAACAATGGAAAATAATAAACGTTGTTGAGAATGTGGAGAAATTGGGTCCCTTATACATCGCTGGTGGGAATGTAAATAGCACAGAAAACAATTGGAGGGCCAGCCCGGTGGCGCACTGCTACAGTGCGCCGCTTGGGAGCACGGTGGCGCTCCCGCCGAGGGTTCGGATCCCACAAACAGACCGGTTCCCGCTCACTGGCTGAGCGAGGTGCGGGAGCAACACCGAGGGTTGCGATCCCCTTGCCGGTCCCGGTCCGGTACGGGCACAACACTGAGGGTTGCGATCCATTGCCGGACACGAAAAGAAAAAAAAAAAAAGAAAAAAAAACCAATTGGAAAACAATATGCCAGTTCCTCAAAAAGCAAGAGTTATCGTAAGACCCAGAAACTCCACTCCTAGGTATATGCCCAAAAGAATTAAAGACAGGAAGCCAAAAATGTACTTGTATGCCTATGTTTATTGCAGCAGTATTCACAATAGCCAAAAGATGGAAACAAACTAGGTCTATCAACAGATAGATAAGCAAAACGTGGCATATACATACAATAAAGTATTATTCAGCCATAAAAGGGAATGAAGTTCTGAAAGATGCTACAACATGGATGGACCTTGGGAATATTATGCTAAGTGAAATGAGTTGGACACAAAAGGACAAATATTATATGATTCTAGTTATATTAAATATCCATGATAGACTAATTTGTAGAGACAGAGAGTAGTTTGGAGGTTACCAATGGCTAGCAGATGGGGAAATGGGAAATTATTACTTAATGATTACAGAGTTTCTCTTTGGGATGATGAATAAGTTTTGATTATGGAGAGTGATAGTTGTACAACATTGTAAATATAATTGATGTTAATGAGTTGTATGTTACAATCATTAAAATGAAAAATTTTTTGCCAAATTACTATATTTTGCCACAATAAGAAAAAAATTAAGGCAGGCATTCCCTGTAGACAGATGCTGATATCAGTGCTTCAACTGGTGAGGATATTAAGCCCTGGAGCAGTGATAAAATAGAGAAACTGAGCCAAGACTCCTACTTTAATCTGGGTTCTCAACAAGGTTAACCTGATTCCAAAGTAGTAACATTTTCCTGGCCCCTGAAACAAGCAAATAAATTTTGTCTGGAGGAAAGCATCTCTAATTTAAGTCCCTCACATTCCCACAGATTATGTGGAGCCAAACATGAACTCACAATCAAAGATTACAAACACATGGGGAAATAAACTACTATGAGTGAGAGTCAGCAGAAGCAACCAACAACAAAGGTTCTCAAAAACTTCATGTTGGAATTATCCACTAGAATATAAGCTCTGTGAGAACAGACATTTTTATGTTTTGTTTACTGTTGATTCCCATCTTCTGTAACAGTAACTGGCACCTAATAAGCACTAAATAAATATTTGAAGAATAATTAGGTATAAAAAATAAAACAAAATATGTATGACATGTTTAAAAATTTTGAAAATCAGAAAAATGAACAAGCAATAATATGCCATAAAAATAATCAGAAATATTTATAAAAAGAACAAAATAGTATTTCTAGAAATTAAACAGATTTAGTAAATTAGACACAGGTGAAGAGAGAATTTAATAGACTGGAAGATCTGAAGAAATTATTCAGAGACATAAGATGCTATAAAATAATAAAAGAGAGATTAAGAAATATGAAAGATATAATCAAAAGAGCCAGAATACATTTAACCAGAGACATAGATGGAGAGAACAGAAAGAACCAAAGAAAGGAAATATATGAATAATTATGACTAAAATATAAAATATATTTTAGTTAAGATAAATTAATTAATTAAAATTCCTTAATTTTTCCATAAGGCGTAGAAGAAATGCATCCAAATACACAGGTAGACCAACATATATCATGCAGGATTTTTTTTAAAATCTACATTTACATACATTATTGTGAAATTACAGGGCACCAAAGCTAAAGAGATCTTAAAAGAGCCAGAGAAAAAAATGCAGGTCACGTACAAGAGAGCTAGAGTAAGACTGACAGTAGACTTCCCATAAACGAAAACAGAAACCAGAAGACAGTGGACCATCTTCAGTGTGCTAAGAAAAATAATCAGCAATCTAGAAATGTCTACCCTGCAAAATTGTCTTTTAAGAACAAAGATGATAAACACGGGAGTGCAGGTATCCCTTTGATTTACTGATTTCCTTTCCTTTGGATATATACACAGTAGTGGGATTGTTGGATTGTATAGTAGTTCTATCTGTAATTTTTTTTTGTTTTGTTTTGTTTTTGTTTTTTTTTCGTGACCGGCAACGGATCGCAACCCTCAGTGTCGCGCCTGTACCGGACTGGGACCGGCAACGGGATCACAACCCTCGGTGTTGCCCCCGCTCCTCGCTCACGGGAACTTGCCCTTGGCCTTGTGGTGACTCTCGGTCTTCTTGGGCAGCAGCACGGCCTGGATGTTGGGCAGGACGCCGCCCTGAGCGATGGTGACTTTACCCAGCAGCTTGTTGAGCTCCTCGTCGTTGCGGATGGCCAGCTGCAGGTGGCGCGGGATGATGCGCGTCTTCTTGTTGTCGCGGGCCGCGTTGCCCGCCAGCTCCAGGATCTCGGCGGTCAGATACTCCAGCACCGCCGCCAGGTACACCGGCGCGCCGGCTCCCACCCGCTCGGCGTAGTTGCCCTTGCGGAGCAGGCGGTGCACACGGCCCACGGGGAACTG